ATAATGCTGTTCTTTTGAACTTTCAATTAATCAATTAATAAAAAAATCCTAAAAAAATGTATCACTGTTCCAACAATAATAGTATTATAAAATATAAATCAACATATTAAAATAATATCTGAAGGATCGTGTGACGTTGAAGACTGGAGTAATGGCTGCTGAAAATTCAGCTCTGGCATCACAGAAAATCTTTTTTATATTTTATATTTTAATAGTTTTAAAATATATTTAAAAATATATTAAAATAGAAAACAGTTATTTTAAATCCTAATAATATTTCACAGTATTTATTTTTATTGTATTTTTATTCAAATAAATTTGGTGAGCTTAAGAGACTATTATTGATGCTCCGAGCAAAAGGTTTGAATGGTTTTCCCAGAACAATGGCAAGGAACCCTGACAAAGCCGCGGGTGCAGGGCAACCTGAGTAACCCTACTTCACCTTCCTATTCACCATTCACGTCCCTCATCTGTCCACCAAATTAAATATGGTCTGCAAAATGGACAAGGGAATGTCCCCTCCGGTGTTGTAGGAATGGAGGAGACTGCGGGACACAGACGATGTGTCTTGTGAGTAAGGCCAGGCATTAACATATTCACTTCAGGCTGCAGAACAGGTAGATGAGGGAAGAATGGGAATGAGAATGAGTGAAGGATGGGATTCGAGCCATTTGATTGGCTGCAGAGGATGTGAGCTCATTGCTCTCAAGGGCCTGATTATCCACTTTAAACTTATTTCGAGCATATTTTGTGTTTCTTTGAGGGGATGTCTCAAGTTATCAGACTTTCACATGACATCACCGTTGAGAGGCCATGCTGCATCATGGACTTGTAAATCTTTAGTAATGCTGTTTATTAGTTGTTTTTTTTATGATTACAAGTACTTTATACAAAAACAATATTTGTGTGTGTGTGTGTGTGTTTGTGTGTGTGTGTGTGTTTAACTTCAATTAGTTCAAGCTGTACTGTTTGATCAACAAGAACTTAGTCAACCAAAATATTAAAATATTTTAAATTACTATTGTATTATGAATTGACAATAATTGATCAAAATAATGTAATAATTTTGAATGAAAAATTGAGTCCTTTTGTTAATGCAATAAGGCTGTCAAGGCTATATTGTAAATATAGTCACTTTTCTGTGTTATATGAACTTTTCAGCCATGACTGTATTTACAATATAGCACAGCATCTCCTATAATTGCTTACTCTTAATGACTTGAAATCTTTAAGAAGCACATCTTTATCTTTTATTCAGAAGTTGCCCAGCTAAAGTCATTTGGAAAAAGTAAAAAACATTGAAAGGTTTAAATATGCTAACACAGCTGATTGCGACATGTAATGGTGTCTTGATTTATCACAGCTCGCTTGAAGGGCGGATATTAGGTACAGTGAGCTCTCAGTATAAGCCCATTCACAGGGCCAGATATGACACACTTTATCCTCTCAGCCATTTCTGATTAAAACAGGATGATGATCGCCATCTTCATCTCTCTTTGTCTCTCATTCACTTTCACTCTGACGGCGCTCCCATGAGCTGAACATAATGTGAGATTACTTCAAACATTAAGCTATTAATTTAACGGAAAAGATAAAAAATAATAATAATCAGGCCCGTTGTACCCCAGTCCTAATGCAGAGATAAGATGGTTGCGGCTTGGCTTTGAAAACAAAAATGATAAGAGGCTTTGAATTGTCCGTGTTGAAGGGATCTGACATCTACCTGTTTACTTAGACGGTTTAGAGACGCAAGCTGGCATCCAATCGCTCCACACGAGCTGCGCTTCTGAGAACAGTCGTCTAGGTGAGAGTCGTGCTCCGTCTAGTCATCACACAATGACATCTGCTCGAGCAGGCAGGGTGAAACTGCGCACGCTGTGGGCCTCGAATTGAAACGTTCAAGTCTAACCCAACGTTGGCACACAAATGTAATCTTGTGCTACTCTGCCTGTGTGTTTCTGTTTTTCATTTGCCTACCGCATTCGTTCCGGAGGTCACACGCTGCGCTCGAAGCCGGGCCTCGCCTCGCATCCGCGTCTCCGAAACCCTCTCCCCCGCAGATGCGAGTGTGAACCTGGGGGCCAGTTCTTGTTGCGCCGGTCAATTGGAGAATCTTTTATTTGGATACACTTATCATTCCTATTTCCTAACCTGATTGAGGCTTAAAAGCCAAAGCAGCTCAGATCGTGCCAGAATAAATCTCCTTGCCTATTAATCTGTCGCTGGGTCCTCTCCCTCTCAAAATTGTTGCATTGCGGCAGGATTTATGAGGAAATTAAATGTATGATATCCGAGCCTCCTCTTACTGCGCTCCGCGCGCGGCGACAGAGCATTTCTGTCCTCCTCTTTTGATTACAGTGAAATCAGCGCGAGAGTGGTGTCTCGGAGGAAGCCTACATTCCCACAATTAGGTCACAGCGGCGGGCCACGGGAACATATTCTAGCGCTGGGCCTCTCTCATTTGTCTTTCCCTGCCCTGTGCCCCCGCGCCAAGCAACACCAAATTGTATTCGTGGGGTTGGATCGGAAAGAGTAAGGAGATGAAAAGGCAATTTCCATCTGCTAGTTAAAGCTCCTCCATTCCTTTCTCTGGTTCTGAGTGCTGCATTATTGCCCATAGTCTGTGCTCCAGGGGGTTAAATGAAACACTTCACCTTAACAATTATGTGCCAGTGGACACTATGCAATATTATTTAACAAGATGACGTGTAAATGCGGAATGATACGTTATACAATCATCACTGGACCTTTATAGATCATAAAGACACCACAGCAAAACATATAGGCTATATTCTTAAGTTCAGATCGTTGTAAAGATATAAAAGCATTTGAAATATTAAAAATATACAATTGAATATTTTTCAAATACACAAAAATATTAAGCAGCACAACTGTTGACAACAATAAGAAATGTTTCCTGAAACAAATCGGCATATTAATATAATTTCTGAAGACTGGGTATTGGAGAATTGGCTGCTGAAAATTCAGTTTAGCCAACAAAGGAATATATTACATTTTAAAATATATTAAAATAGAAAACAGTTATTTTAAAGTATATTAAAGTATATTAGTAAAGTATATTTATTTTAGTATTACAGTATTTGTGATCAAATAAATGCAGCCTTTGTGACCACAAAATACTTCTTTCAAATCATAATACAATTCAATTAAATAAAATGTGTTCCTTGACTGGTCTGTGTCATCACTGGCCACTCAGTCTCCTTCTGCATATCATTATAAAAATTAATACATTTAAATTAAATACAAATTATTTGGCCAGTCAATCTCCTTCTGTATAAAATAAATAAAATAAAAATTATATCTGAAATATTATCTCTTTATTTAAATTTATAGACTGTTGGAATTTAAGCTCAGAGGTGGTTCCTCAATGATGTTAGTGATATTAAAATATTAACAGTTTTCACTTCGTGTAATGATTCATGTTTGGTACCAAAGGTGTGTTTTTTTCTCCTAAAACCAGTGATCATTTCAAATCTCTTGGTTGTTTTTCTCATCCTTGAAGACTTGTTTTCGAGCAATCTATGTTATAATTAAGATATTCCATCTTCTTTTAATATGTCATGGTATTAATATCTAATCCCTTACTGTCTTGAAGACCAGACTGATTTGTTTTGAAAATCTTATATGAAAAATGTTAATCTGATTGAGAAGATCTGCCTTGGGACTGGTCTGTGTGTCATCTTTGGTCAGTCAATCTCCTTCTGTCCTGGAATATAGGCACTGAAGATGAGCTATAGCTTAATCCCAAAATGTTAATCTCAGGGACTTTCTTCTTTTTCTTTTCTTTTTGGTGGAAGTGGGTGGGTGTGGGGAGAGGTTAAGTCATGGTTGAAGTATTGTGTGCTTCACCTATACTGCAAGTACTGAATGAAGCATGTGCTGTATGCAGGTGTTGCTTCTGAATTTGAAACTTTGGGCATAACTTTATGTATAAAGACTTATAAGGTGAATAAAACATTGTGACCTTTATTGTTATTCATTAAAAAGCAAAAAAACAAAGTTATGAGTTTGAATTATTTTATTTTGTAAGCCCCAGTTTCTTGCATTCCAACTTGGGTTTTCATAAGGCAGACGCAAGATGAATCCACCAGTTACTTTCCACAAAATCAAACGATTTCAGATAATATTTCTGACAACTGGGACATGCAGCTACTGCACAGAGGGGAATATTAAACGCTGTATACACAAAACAACAGTGGCAATGATGAAAACCTGCAAGCATTTAGAGGCCATCTGAATAGAAGGATCGGAAATGCTTTGTTGCAAAGAAACAAAAAGGATACAAACAAAAAGCATCTTTGTGATTCCTCCCCAAATACAGAATAAATATATTTTTGATTTTTTTTTTTTTAATTATGCATGGCTTAAAAACAAAAAAGTATTGATGTCAGTTTAAGCTATGGGAATATATTGCATCTCTAAAATACAGCTACAAACATATCACCTTACCTAACTTGTTAAAAAAGGTGTCTCAAAACATTTTGGGTGTAAACACATTGTGGATTTTTGACGTGTTGTTGAAGTGAGCTGAATATATAAGCATCGATACAATCATGTCAGTTTGCCTACACTGCAAAAGAAACAAAGTCTATGCACAGTTATGTACCATTACTGTATTTACAATACATTGAAGAAGCGTCATACGGATTTGCACTGAACAGGGACACGACGAGCATTATTCCTTACCATCTCACACAACATCGTTTACAAATGGTACTCCATATTGCTTAGAAACATTTAGGAATGAATTTCAGGCATTTTGCTTATTCCCCCCCCCCCCACAAAAAC